GTGTGTTGAATGTTGGAACAAGGTTGTCTCAATAAGGTTTGGCAAAGAGGTTATGGAGTACATTCTTGAAGCAACCAAAGAAGAGGAAATCATGTCTGAGCAGGCAAAAAGGTGCTATCAAGAGAACCCGACATGGGGTGGAACAAATCACAGACAAAACTCTGGGTAAGAGACAAACAGGAGGAAAGGCATACAAATGTAATCTCATCCAGTATTGACTGAAAGCATCTATTGACAGGGCTTGTGGATGAGGAACAGGAGACCAAAACAACTGTAGATGAGCATTCCAATGGGTTGCAAAAGCATCGATCATTAATGATCCAAACTGAGAACATATTCATTGAAAGAACCTCCTGATGTAATATCCATTTGGTTGGAAGAATTCGATGAGGTCGAGTGAGATGATCTGCAATCAAATTCATGACTTCTGGTACACGACAGGCCAAAAGATGAATGTTGTGGGAATGAGCCCAATAAAGAAGATCTAAAGTTTAGAACAAAGATCCCGAGAACGAGTACCTCCCTAATGAGAAAGATACGAGACCATCACGGAGTTGTCCGAATGAATCATGACATTCTCTTCTCATTACTCGATGTACCACAAGAAGTTCAAGAATGTTGATATGCAGGGTAGATTCATTGTCTGTCTAAATACCCTGGAATTCCTGTACCTGAAGAAAAGCACCCCATCCATGAAGAGATGGACTTCCAGATGAGGAGATGGTACCTGAACCCTAATAGTAATGTTGTTCCTGTCTAGCCACCACTGGAGATTTGCAAGATCGTTCTCAAGCAAAGAGACTGGTTGATCCAAAGGAGGGATCACATATGGGCCCAACCCAATGGCATAAGGGATTTGAGAGAAGCCCAAATCCCCAAAACAGGCAGAACCATCCACCTGTTCTTCATGCATAAAACGTAGAAATCAACAAGAAGACACTGCTATAAGGATGTGAAGATAGGCATCTGCAACATCAAATTTGGTCATCCAAAGTCCTGGTGTAAAGTGCCATCGAAGTTGAAGAAAAGATTCCATGGTGAAACAAGAAAGCTGAAGGAAATGATCGAGTCAAGACAGATCAATGATAAGACGTCAATCTTCAGTTTTCTTGGGCACCAGAAATAGATGAAAATAAAATCATGGATGAATGGGATCGACTTTGTCATTGGCTCGTTTGATGAACAGCTCCTGAATGGTCCAGGAATGAAGGTCTGAAGGAGAAGAAAACGACTAGATGGGAGCACAGAGGAGAGAGAGAAGTAAACTGAATCTCAAACTCTAAATCCAGCACTCTGAGAACCAAAGGATCAATGGTGAAGGAACGCCAAATGTGGTGAAAGAGATGTAACCGTCCTCCCACAGGATTTGGTGAAAATAGGTAGTCACTGATGCCACTGGTGCCATCATGATCTGTCTCAAGATACCCAAGAATATGGACGGAAGCGATTCTGAGAACCAATAGGACAAGGTAATGAAGGAGTGGGCCATGAGATGTGAATGGTCAATCCTCCAGAAGGATTCATTGGAGTAGGAGAGACGCGAACAGCCAATGATGATAAAGAAGACTGTAAATATGCCGAATCAAGTCAGGCTTCTAAAGATTCTGGAATTCCAGCAAACAAGTAAAGCAGAAGAAAATGCACCTCCCATAAATCATGAAGAGCAGTGGAGAGCAAACGAATACCCAATAATAAGGCATCACGACTCAACAAGTCCCAGCAACAGACCAACCACGACATCAAGATGAGGCCTGACGAAGACAAGCATGTCATAGTAGTAACCAGTAAAGTGCCCAGTTTGTCATCAAATTGATGAGGAGAGTGGTGATATGCTTCAGACAAAAGATGAATGGAAGAGAATTATTTTAAAACAGTAGTACGAGTCAAACGAATCTGTGAAAATTGAGACCTGTTAATAGCGAAAAGAGGTTCTAACCTGGAACCCCATATATTCAGCAACTGATCCAACCATTGAGTGTCTAAATATACATCATCCTGACGATAAGCCAGGGCATGTTGTTCAGATAAACTGGGGGGAGACATAGTAACACCCTCACGTAGTTGTGTTGCAAATCTCCCTGCATGCACAGCAATATCAGGGGAAGGAGGAAGAACAAAGATCGATTAGACAGCAAGGCAGAAGTACACTCAAAAGCAACAGGGTTAATCCCCAAAACTTCAAAAACTCACGTAACTAACTGCATATAAGGGGCAGAAAATGCCTGATTAAATGAGACCTCAGTAGAGGGTGCCCTAGTAAAAGAAGGAGCAGGAAACAGGGAGTCTAAATTCTCCCCAGAATAATATTATGTTTCATGATCAAAAGCCAAATCAGAACCTCCTGGGAAGACACCCCTGGGCTGCACAAAGAACTCCATCTCATCCTGATTCAGCTCAAGGACATCTTCCACCAAGAGTGGATCCCCCCCACCCCAAATGTTTACTACCACTAGATAACATAGAAGGAATGGACAAGGGCTGATTAGCCTAAGTGCCAGAAACTGTTACACAGGAATTCATACCCACTTTCTTTTTTTGTAACAACAGAAGAAAACCAATGAAATATTAGCATCGGGGAACAAATCAAAAGAACACCTGACTATAATGAAACTGAATTAATGAAATTGTAAACTGCAAAACGTGACTTTCAAAGCATGTACTTGGTCAAGAAAAAGTGATTATATTGTCTGCATACAGTGCTTATATACAGTAACTGCAGAGAAGGTGTGTGAGGGCTAGTGTAAAGTTTTGCAAATTAGATATTGTCGAGGGCAGTCGAGTGGGATATATAAAGAGTGGAGCATGCAAACACAATGTTAAATGGCAAAGATGGAGATCCAGAAATAGCGATAAGTGTTTGCGGAGGTATGTATGTTTTGGAAGTTAATTTTCTTTCTCATTCTTGTTGGACTTCTACTCTCACCATCTATCAGCACAAATGGGGTATTTACCACCATTGATCCCTCTTCAACTTCTTTCCATCTGGTCATTCTACTCTACCACATCTTCCTTCTTTCTTAACCCAGAACTCCTCAAGGCTTTTTTTGTCCATCATTCCCCTTGCCCAGTCCCTCTTCTCGACTGAGACCTTTATGTGGTTCTTCAGGCTTTTACATACACACACACACACACCCATTAAAGCCACTGGCTTCCTGATCCTTATATCTACTTGTCCCTGAAAATACATTGGGATGAGTTCAACCATAAACTTTTAACAGTGCCTCTGTCAAATTTGGCATATCACAGCCTCTTTTGTCTAGATTTTGAAGTAAGCCACTAAAGAAGATCTTGCAAACTGGTATGTGGACTATACCTAACACATTAACCACCCATTACTTACATCACTAGTTGGTTTCTTCTGCCTATGGTTTTCGATTCCCTTCAGTTGAAATTCACCAGTCTACTCAACAGAAACCATATCAAATGTGAAACTATCAACCATTGTTATATTTGGTGCCACAGGATCCCACTGAGTGGCTGACATTGCCTTACAGACAGTACCTACCCAAAATCTATATCATATGGGGAATAAGAGCAATGTTAATTCCACCTATCCCTACTCAGTGCCCACCACTGAGATGGATGTATTATTTCAAAGTGCAGTACAGAACACCTTGTTACAATATCTACCAAAGCAGTTCTCAGTTCTTGGAGATTAATCCTGATAAGGACCAGTTAGAATTTTTGTGAACTGGTTAGAAATTTTGCAAATTTCATACCCTGCTGACTATCCAACAAAATTTTAAACTTTGTTAAATGACTCTGCAAAGCATCTTTTATTGGACTTTTCCTACCACTGATATAAGACTAATAGGCCTATAATTACTGGGACAATTTTTATCATCTTCCTTGAAAAAATGATTAATATTAGCCAACTTCCAATGTTATGGCATAAAACAAGGTTCCAAAGCTTAGAAGCCAACCCTATAAAATTTACCTTTAGTTTCTTAATAAGATATTGGAAAAATTGTTGTAAAAAGCAAAGAAAAAACTGCATTGTACCTGTAATACAAGATGGCATTAAAGCCTGAATTTCAACACTTGAAAGAAACAGAAAAGGACTATATAAAAAAATATCATTATTATCAGATATACATAGTAAAAATGTTTCATGTTTTATCTATATTAAAAACAATTTAAATGTTTTATATTAACTTATTGATAAGTTACTTATACTTCTTTAACCTTCCAATGCTCTGTTAATGCTGCACAAGATTAAGATATTTAAGATGGGTACTTGTTTGTTTGAAATTAAGCACAAAGCTACACAATAGGCTATCTGTGCTCTGCCCACCATGGGTATCAAAACCCGGTTTCTAGCGTTGTAAGTCTGCAGACATACCGCTGTGCCACTGGGGGGCTAAGATGAATACCTTACTTTAAAGTCTAAAACGATAAAAACCCTATAGCCCAAGAGCTTTCAAAAGGTGGACCTTTCTTCTTCAGGGGCAAACTGGGAATGGTGGTGTAACTGAATGAGTGGTATGTAAAAGAAGTTGAGTGATGTGATGAAGATCACCTGGGTTTCCAGGAAGTATATTTGTATATTTTTCAGTTTTCTGTTGTAAGTATGTCTCAGTTCTGGTGCAACATGGCCAGAAATGTAAGCATTATGTAAAAAGGTGTTAGAGATGTTCTGCTTTAGAAATGATCAAGAAAATTTATACTTAAAGTAAAATAAAAGTGACCCATGGAGAATGACTGGAAAAGCAGACCAACTTCTAATTACAGGCAGGGAAAATTATCATAAATAAACATAAGTATTAGAAAGATCAGAGGTAAACTTCAAGTTCTCACGACATAGAAAAAATTATATAAAAATTAAATAAATAAATAAAAATTATTTTTCAAAGTTTACTTCAACGTAATCATTTTCATTTTAGTTCAACATTGAACATAGAGATAATATTCATTGAACAATGTGAGACATGCATGTGCCTGCAGTGATAAAAATGACCTAGCTTAAAACTACAACAAAAAAAAATCAAATCAAAACATACCTGTTATGAAAGACCTAGGAAGAACTTCTTGTGAAACTGCCTGTTTAACAGCATATACATCACGTTGGGAGAGTTTTGTCTGTTTTGATAGTTCTAGGTCAGACAGGGTTAGCACACTTTTACAGGTGTTAAGTTTTGCTATTAAAATTAAAGCTTTGTTTTTATTTTTGTATATTTTCACATCTATAACTTAACATAATTCATACTCCAGTCAGAAAAGTAATTAGCAATGATGTTTTAAGAAGCATGTAATCAGAGCCATATTTAGACTACTTGAGGCCAGAGGTACAAAGGCAGACTGAGGCCTCTTAGGCCTTAGCCATGTAAGAAACTTGTAAAAAAAAAAAAAAAAGAAAAAACAAACAAACAATTAAATAATTTATATATTTGGGGGCCCTATGTGTTACACATTCTTTTCAAATATCTACATCATTTAAATCTCCATGAGACCCATACACATTATTTGTGTATGAATATTATATCAATAGATATGAAATTTTATGCTTATAAGCAGGTGTTACATTTTCACAAATAAAAAAAATCAGCATAAGCTACATGTCTCATGAGGCCTCCTTTTAGTCAAGACCCCCCAGCTAGCACCTCATGCTCCTGTGCATAAATCCGGCTCTGCATGTAATCAGTTATTGTACACTTACTACTGATGATATCATTGAAATTTTCACGTTGCATTAAAATTTATACTGTAGTCTAACTGTAAAACAAAAAATAAATACTATACCAAATATCCAATATATTGATTAACAGATGCTTAAATCAGTAATTTATATACTTAATGAACAAAATAAAACATTTCAAATATAGAGTATTTCATGTTATGATGGTCACAAAATAATTCAAATAAAAAAATGTATTCAATGGAATTGCTTAAAACCACTATTTTTTCTTATGTTTGATAAACAATATATATATTTTCCCTTGATTTTTAGGATTTGGAATAAGAAAACGAAATTTCAAGACTCATCATGGAATACAAAAAGTGAATAAAGTTTTCAGTGTTAATGAAGAAGTTGATGGGGACTTTTTGTTACATTGAAAAATCTTATGGACATTGGAAGAATTCCTGATGACTGGAAGATGGCTTATGTGAACCCAATTTTTTTAAAAGATGGTTTTGAGGAAAAGCTTGAGATATTATAGGCATGATTTCTATTGGCAGATGCTAAAAATTGTCAGAACTTAATGTTAGAAATCATTTAAAACAACCTTGAAAGTTCATACTCAATAACTGATAGTTTTAGAAAGGGATATTCTTACTTTAACAACTTTGTAAAGAGTTTTCTGACAAGACTAACAAATGTACTTAACTTTTAGAAAGTCTTTGGTATAATAATGCTAGATTCTTATGAAACTGGTGAAAGTCTGAGCTTGTTGATAGTAAATTAACATTTTTCTCGTTCAGAGAATGTATCCAAGATTTGTTCTGGTTATAAATTGATTATTATTACTTTGTGCTAACAATCTGGATAATATCTTGGGCAACTACATGTTTTAATTTGCTTATGATATTAGAATCATGTATAAGGCTGATACTACTGAGAATGATTTTCAATGCAACAGGACTTAAGACAGATTTTGTGAAAATTACAACTATAATAGCTTAAGAAATGTGGTCTACTTTCGCTTCAAAAATTCAATATAACATTTAGAAGTGATTAGTTAAAAAAAAAAAGATTTAAACCTGTTTATTTGTTTAAAAAATCAAACAAATTTATGAGGTCAACTAACAGGAATTTGTAATTCAAGATAAAGACATTTTCATCTACTCATATACTTAAGTACTATAGTAGAATGGGTTAAATTAATAATTGACAATCAAAATAATAATTTGATCCATTAAAATTTAGAAGAACTGGAGGCAACTTGATTCAAGTATTTAAATTTGTTAGGGACTCAAACTGCACGTCGAAGATCTATTTATAAGATTGGAAATAAAGATTTAATGATATCAGAGATAATGTAAGCTCGCATTGTTTATATAGTTATTTTTGTAAACTAATTTTTTACAGAATAATTAATGTATGGAAACAATTTACTATCAAAGAAGTATGTACTTTTAGGTGTAGTTTAAAATCATTCATATGGATGTATATGGCCTTGAATGGTTAACAGTTTTAATGGTGGTTTGGAGAGTGAAGGATGAGCCCATGGCTTGACTGGTCTCTTCTTTTGTTCTGTGTTCTGATAATAGTGTACACTTTTCATTGTCTCTAATATTTGTGCTTGAAAAAGGTAAGTCACTTTAGTACCTACAGGTTTCTTTCTCTTGCTTTTTTTATTTTTAGGTAACTTATTAATGTTATTTATGGAGATCTAACAGTAATACTCCATATAATCTTTTTGGTTTTATAGAAATACCTTTAATTACCTTTTTACATAACTTATAAGTTGTAGTTTCATGTATATTTAGCTTAATTCATTTTTAAGATCCAAAATTTTGAATGTGCCCACATATGTATCTATTTTATGCTTTTCTCAAAATCGGTATGATATGTCTTATACAACTGTTACATGGATGTAAAGGGGGCTATTAAAAGTATTATTATTCAGGCCTATCATTTTTTAAAGCCATTTTAACTTATTATTTAGCTAAATCATGCAATCCCTAACAAGTTATCAATTATAAGTACCCATAATCTTTCTTTTTTGTCTCTTTAGATGTTGTAAATGTTGTTATGCTTCTTTTATTTAGCTTTAGTGTTTTTGTACAAGTTTTTGGTATCAAAAGAGAGATGGACTCCTATTAAACTTTATTCTTTATAAATCAGATACCCATTTATATCATATCTACACAAAACATCTAAACAGAGGGAATTAAAAATGCACTGACCTTTTTTAAGGGCTTCAACAATTCTTGGTGGAAGTAACAAGTTACCAATTTCTTTACTGTATGGCATACTAATTTATTACAATCTCGTCTATTTTGCTGTGCCGAATCATGGGTAAACTCTCTGAAAATATAACAAATATAACTTCTGTTCTTTCACTATTACATTCAGTTTTGTTTACTTGATTAATTATTTATGATTAAAATGTTTAGACACCAGTAGACCAAAATAACGTTAACATTAAAAAAAAAATATGTTACTGATTTTAAAAATGCAAGTTACAAATGAAGAACATCTTTAAATAAACATTAAATATGACAACTTCAAGTACTTTTTTATGACTTGCAAACTACTTATATATAATAAATTAATATATACAGTAGAAAAAATTACTATCAAACTAGTGTAGTATTAAAAAATAAAACTATAAAGAATTTATATATTTTCAAACTCAAGTTATTTTCATGAAATTAGGATTTGTTTTTCCTAGACTTGTGTCCTTCATTTCTATTCTATTAGTATTACCATTAATATTATCTTTTGAATATAGCACAAATAAACACCATTATCCTATTGATCACCGGATAATCTTGTAAACAAACTTCAGTATGATCACCTTATAAGATAGCGAATTCTACTTTTACTTTGGCATTGTTTTGTTTGCCGTTCATTTATTATTCCTTCTATCGTTTACTTCAACTATGACTTTTTGGTATATTAAAACTTTAAAGCGCTAACTTACCGAGTTAGAGCATGTTAATTTTTAGTAAGTACGTATTATGAAACTGATACAAGCTCCCCCTTTGAGTGACGTACCGATATTAATGTTGTGAAAGATTATTTAGATTTATGGTAATAGCGAGTTAGCTTGTCACACGAAATGTAATTTCGTGGTCCAACCACTTAATAAAATCCCTTCATTGATCTTAAATGAGTTAGTTCACATGATATGGAAGTGGTTTAATTTGCGAACATTGTGTTTTTTTCGGAATTATGTTTTTCTGCTTATGGTTCTTTTTTCTAATTATTCTTGATTTATTGATATTAATAACATTGAAATTTATGTTGTATTGTTCATTAACTATTGTACCCAGTCCTGGTTGGGCACGGGTTTACTAACTATAAAAGTGATAAAATGTGTAGTTGCTTGAAAGTTTTATTTTGGATTTCTGTTTTATTTTAATGAAATTGTTTTTATTTGACCATAGTTATATCAGCATTTTGTTTTAGTCTGTTACAAACTCCTACCCTTCTTTTCTCAAGAGAAAAGTTAAGAGAACTCAACTTATCCCTATAAGTTAACCCTTCCATTGCTGGACTCATCCAAGTGGCCATGCTTTAAATTATTTCCAATAAGTCATATTCTTTCACAGATAAGGAGGACAAGTACCCAGGTTCGCTAAAATTTCACCAAAATTCACCGCAAAAACACACACACTGGTCTCTACATCCCCTGGCATTCCGCTCATTACACCACATAAAAAATTAATACTGTTGCGTCAGCGAGATCATGTGACTAGTATCACGCCACTTCCTTCTCGAACCTTCGTGAATTGTCGGGAGATTACTAGATTTGGGGTAGTGTGGTATACATAAGATGGTCACAACGTGACGGGACTGTGTGTAGGTAATGAGTAATTGAACTGCAATCAGAGAGAATATTGTTAAGCACGTGAGAATTATAGCGTTTGTTACAGAGCGACTGTTGAAATTAAGTGTATCGTAAAGTTGTATTCGGAAAGAATAAACCAGTTTTATTTAAGAGAGGACTTGTGTTGCTAAAGTTTCGTCGGAACGAATTTACGGAAAATTAACTGACGACTGGATGTAACAAATTGGTGTCAGAGAGTGGGACAAAAAAAATGGAGACGAGAAGCGTCAAATCAAACTACAGCTTAGCAGATTTGATGGCAGCAATACAAGAACAGCAAAAGAAACAAGAAGAACGAAAAAATAAACAAGAAGAGAGATTACAGCAGTGGTTGGAGGAGAAAGAAAATAAACAAGAAGAGAGATTACAGCAGTTGTTAGACGAAAAAGAAAAGAAACAAGAAGAACGAGAAAAGAAACAAGAAGAAAGACAACAGCAGTTACAAGAAAGCCTACAACAATGGCAACTCGAACAGCAAAGTAAACAAGAGAGACTACAGCAGTGGTTGGAGGAGAAAGAAAATAAATAAGAAGAGAGGTTACAGCAGTGGTCTGCCAGTAACTCAAACTGTGCTCTATATGCTTCCCACGGTGCCTTCCCATCGATTTCTTGTGGCTTCCTTCGCACTGGATCACTCCTATTACTAACATTCATATCTGGGATGTGACTTCTAACGGGACTGAATATGTCTGCATTAGGGTTTAGCTGCGGGCTCTGTAAGGGGCTTGCCATTGTCTGGGGCTGATTAAGTCGATGATCAATGTATCCTCCTTGTGTAACAGACAATAAATCGTTCTTTAACGTATCTAATTCGCTTTTAAATTTACTGATGTTTTCCATTTGTACCTCTTGCCATTAGATGAATGGATGGACAGAGGAGCAGAAAGCTGTATATCTGGCAACGAGCTTGAAGGGACAACCACTGGAAATACTTGGACAGTTGACAGCAGCCGAAAGACACAGCTTTAGAGCACTGGTAGAGGCTCTGGAACTCAGGTACGGAACCCAAAACCAGTCAGAAGTCTACAGGGCCAGGTTCAGGACGAGAGTCCGTGCTAAAGGGGAGAGCCTGCAAGAGCTGGCACAGGACTTGGAGAGCATGGCACACAAGGCCTACCCAACTGCACCACCCAATCTCCTCAAGGTGTTGCTGAGAGATCAGTTTGTAGATGCCTTGGACAGTCCACAACTTAAGATACAAGTGAAGCAAGCACACCCCTCTACCATGCAGGATGCAATGGCCAGAGCTCTCGAATTTGAATCCTACGTTAAGTCCAGCACAGAGGTACCAAGGTTGGTACAGTCATCTGGATTTAAGGCCAGAAAAGGTCAGCTTTCAGAGAAGTTTGAGGGACTTTGCTGGCACTGTAATAAACTTGGGCACATAAGAGCTCAATGTTGGAAACTTCAACACAGGGGAGGTGCCACATCAGGAAAGGCTGATATCCAGAAAAGTTGTTGGAACTGTGGAAAGCACGGACATTTGAGGAGCCAGTGTAGGAAGAATATTACCAACAAGTCGGCCTCAAGGAGACCAGTAGTGGTTGGTGTTGAGCGACGCCCACCAACCCCATCATGAAAGTCCCAACAGCTAGGTGTAAAATGCCAAGCACACACAGTGTCTATGTGACAGGAAAGCTGGATGGCCAAAGGTGCAACTTTGTCATAGGCTCTGCATCTCAGAATATCCTTGTGAGCATCAAGGTGTTAGATCATGAAGGAGTACCAGAAGCCACACAGAAGCTTTTTGGTGTGACAGGACATTCTACAAGATTGTGGGGATCAGTGTGGGTAACTATTGAGCT